AATTAAAAATAGATAAAACAAAGTTAGATTTATATTAATAGATTAATAATATTGATTAGTAATTTAGATCTGCAAGTTTGAGACATCCTAGAGAACTAGAATCCTCTCAAAAAAATAGAAAATTTTTTTTATAAAAGTAGAATATAATTTTCAAAAGAGTTTTGAAATATTTTTACTGTATAATTATTAGTTTTAAACTATTTATAATGTATAATATATCAAAATAATAGCAAGAATGAGCTGAACAAGTTTGTTTTATATAATAACTATAATTTATTTAATAAACTTTTGAGTTTTTGCAGAAAGAAGAAAATTACAAAATTTAATTATATTCTAGTAGTAAATGCCTTTGAGGATATAAAATTAGGCTGCCTATATGTAAAATTCTATTAGAAACAATTTTATTTAGATAACCAAAGTAAATTTATTTAATAAAAATTAAGAAAAGAATAATTGTATTTAGAGAAAATTTGGTACAAGTGATCATTAGAAAGAATTAATGATTTGCATCTCACTAAGTTAATATTTGTATAATTAATTATGTAATTCTTTTTAAAAAAAAATTAATAAGACTGCTAAAATTAAAAAAAAATTTATAATTAAATTTATATATAATTTAAAAAAAATATTTTTGGGATATGGTAACTTAGTGAAATAGTTAAGTTGTCAACTCTTCAAGTAGTAGATTGGGAATTCAAAACCTATTGACAGTAAAAATTTAGAAAACCACTTATGTTATATTAGTATTATGAGAGGTAAGCAGTATTATAACAATGACATTTTATTGATTAGTTAAGATCAGTACTTGTAACATAATCATACCAGATGACTAGCAAGTTATGAGTATTTATGCAATATTAGAATTATACAGAAAAATGCAAACTGGTAAGTTCTTGTGACTATGTAAATCTATAAACTGAAAAACCAGAACTCACTTGAGAAGACCTAAGTAAAGAAGTAGTACAAATTTTTGACAGAACTATTGTAAAGGCTAGACCTAAAAAACAGATACTAATGTGAAAGAAATTAAGTAAACAAGAACTTCAGGTGAAAGGTATCACTAATCAGACTATTGAAAGTCTTGAACCAGAAAAAAAAATCTTGAAAGGCAGATTTTGAAGAATCAAGAACAAATCATAATCTTATCAGACTATCTGAATTGGAAGTCTGAAGTTAAAAACAGAAGTATACTATGAGTACTAAAGATATGTTATGAAGTTAATGCTGAGGTCTAGGTGAATTCTGCAAGAATAAACTTTATTAACAAGAAACTAAATATAAATAATTAATTAATAAAAGAATCCTTTGAAACCCTACAGTCAGGTAACATACTCTAAAATGTGTAACAACTTGATAGATGTACAAACAAAGAGGTCACAGTTAAGTTAAATGGCACTTATGTGTACAGGAACTTGTACACTATTTGTCAGTATAAGTATAAAGATCAGAGTATTTAAATAAGTAATCTCCTAGTAGGTTGCAGATATGGCAGCTAATGTAGAACCTGCTGTACAGGTGAACTACTTAAAATAAATAACCAAAAGTTGTACATGTGCCTAGTTGTATACTCACCTTGTACAAATTATATAATCATAATTAAAATACAAAAAGGCAATAGCCACTGATAACTACAGCCTTAGTGTAAGCAAAAAAAAAAAATAATGCTTTTTATTTTTAATCAAAAATATCTTAATAATCATTTAACTAAATTTGATTAATATTTTTTTTTATTGAATTCTACAAGTCTGTAGAATTTGAATAAAAAAAATTGTCAAATTTAATCAAGTGATTATCAAGATATCTTTAATCAAAGTTAGAAGAAATTTTTTAACTATAAATATTAAAAAACTTTAATCAAAAATATCTAAAGATGTCTCAATAACAACCTGACCAAATTTGATGATTTTTTTATTAGAATTTTAAAAGTCTGTAAAAGTCATAAAAAAAAAATTCATCGAATTTGGTTAGGTGGATATCTAAATACCTTTAATCAAAGTTAGAAAAAATTTCGTCGCAACTATTATTTTAATAAACATTTGAATTTTTTTTAATACTTTGATAAAAAAACCACCTGACCAAATTCAATAAATTTTTTTATTAGAATTCTACGAGTCTGGAGAATTCAAATAAAAAAATAAAAAAAATTCATCGAATTTGGTCAACTGGTCGCCGAGATACCTTAGATTAAAGTTTTTTAAAAAAGTATTTTATCAATTAAAAAATTGTTATTCGTGATTGGTTGCGTCACAATGTCACGTAAGAGTGAAAATTTTGGGGGTTCAGGATAACTATCCTAAACCAGGGATCTAGAATAAGAATGAACTACGAGACTCAAAATTTATTCGTTTAGCTTAAGTAATTAGCTTTTGCGCCTTTTTGAACCTTTATAACAGATTCGCAATAAAATGATTAGACATTTCGAAAGTAAATTTGAAATTATGTACATATACATATTCTGCAAGTGACTGAAGGAAAGTCTAATAAATTTCAATTTTTTTTTAAATCTTTTATTAAAGTTTTTACTGCGGAACGTCGCCTCGTCCAAACATCTCCACTTTCACACTTGAGAGACGTTCGCCTTGGAATCGAAGGTGCACATTGGCTTCGTAAAATTTTACAGAGTTCTGCGAAAGAGCCTGCAACCGCTGCTCTAGGTGGCATACCGATTGGGCTTAAAGCTGCAATAGAAAAAGAACTAGAACTTATGAGGTTATATAATCAATATATAATCAATTAATAGTTTTAATTCATATAGAATTTATATATAAAATGTTTCAATATATTAGATCATATGGAATTACTCCAGTTTTTGTATTTAATGGTCTTAGTGTTATCCGCAAAGACAAACCATTTTCAGTAGAGGATACAAGACCAGGAAGACGATCTCAAGCTTGGGATATGTATGAGAAAGGTCGAATTGATTCTGCTTATAGTCAGTGGGCAAGCTCTGGATCTATCCATCAGCCAGATTTATTATATTTTGTATTCAGCGTCTTCAAAGAAAATGATGTGGAATTTATTCGTGCACCTTATTCTGCTTGGGGACAGGTATTGTTACATTACGATTACTCAATTTATGTTTCCCATTTTGTTTCCTTTGATCATTTTAAGTTTGCAATGACGGAATTTATTGTATAATCTATTTCATTAAAAGTATTGCAGAATTTAATATTTATATAGTAATCTTGTTTCTTATTGCATTTTAACAATGCGAAATTACTTTCGTCTAGTATTCCAAGATCGTTCATAAGAAACACATAACTCACGTTGACTCTATCTTTTATGCCAAATCACTGTGATTATACAAGCTGATATATCTAGAGCGCCATCCCAAAACATATGTCCATGCCCTTTACGGTGGATCAGAGCTATTAATGTATAACGTCGATAAGGTCATTGTCAACATGGATTTGGAGGTTTGTTTGTATTTTTTATTTTTTATTTAGAAAAAAAAACATTAAGTAAATAAATACCGTAGTGCGCTGACTAAAATTCCCTCATTTAAAATACCCGGGTATTTCACATGGCAAATATATATATGTATTCTTTTTACCAGGGATAATACCCAGGTATTTTACATGCCATTGTTCAAACTACCACGTATTGATTTCTGTGTTATATATGTAAGTCCACACAAAATATCTCATGCAATATACCCATTTCCGAATTAGATACTTATGGGCATTTTGTAGATATTTTTTGGATATTTGATATTAGACCCTAGATCTTTTAGTCAATGCACTACGGTAAATAAATAAATTTAATCGTCTCTATGAAAAAATATTAGGGGAGTTGAGCTTCCAAGCTTTGTATTAAATAATTTCAAGTGTTTCCTTAATATTATATATTAACAGAAATGCACATATTCATGGCTTGATAAAAAATCTATACTTGTTGACCTTCAATTAACCGATGATCAATTTTTGGATGTTTGTATTCTCGCCGGTTTCGAATATTGTGGTACTTTTCCGCCACTAAACTCTGAATTCAGTGGATTCAGCTTTAAAGGTGTTCATGATCTAATTAAACAGTATCGAAACGGTTTTAACGCCGTTCAAGGTTATGCGGATCATGCGGGCGTCCAAAAGACAAACTACATAGAAACGTTCTGCCGTACCAGATGTGCTATTAAATTCCACATGGTATTGACAGATGAAGGAAGAGTAGAACCATTAAACGCGGAGACATCACCAAGCGATATTCATGATGTAATTGGCTATCGTTTACCGGACGAGGTATATTTTTATTTATCCAGAGGGTTAATGTCTCCACAGGTATTACAGATCAAATTTTACTGCTATTGTAATAAAATGAATTTTTTTTTAAACCTTTATTGCAGTATTGAATTTGAATATCATCTTTATAGGTTATTAATACTTTGATATCAGGTGTTCTTATTGAAAATCCGCCCCTATGCAATGGCGAAACACAAGAATATAGGCAATTTCTGAAACAAATACTTGATCTTCGAACACAAGCAATGGGCTTACTTACTCAGCCTCTGCACCAGTTTTACCAATCTAGACGTGTTGTGAGCGTTTATTGGTTTGAATCTGGTAATGAACATCAATTAAATCATAACGTTGCTCCAAGCGTTCACGAGACATTAAATACATGGAACGTTTTGGAAAGGGGATTAGAAGAAGAAAAGAAAGCACAAAAGGTATGTTGTGATTGCTGTATCTGTTTAATCAACAGATGTAAATCTATTAAATATATAATAATAACTATAAAATTATTTCTAGGCTTCTGTTATTGATATTGCTTTTTGCTTGAGGGCAACAGCAACTGAGGAACAGGCTGCAAAGACCATTATGCCTAAAAACAATGATAAAACTATTGATTCTAAAGATGAAATTATAAGTAATGTACTATGGAAACTTTTGGAATTACGGCAGTATGTCACTTTTGATTAATTTTTATATTTTTATTCATATAATTAAATTCAATATTAAATTCAATATATATTAATTTAGGTTTTTAACACATGCCCAACATACCCATACCGTATGGGGTGTTGCTTTCAAAAAGGCTCTTAACCCTAAGTCGAACACTGAATCCTATCACGAGCAATTATTTAGTGCGTTAGAACTGATTAGGTTCGGCTATCTTCATGGTAATCATTACAGTAGAGTATACTATACTTCGCCTAGTTGCGTGAGTGGTATGTGTAAATTGTATTATTTGAAATGTAAATCTTATATCTTTTCTAATTAATAAATCTAATGTGCAGATGAAGAAAAAAGACATATTCTCATAATTTCAAGGACTCTTAGTTTAGTTCCTGCAAAATTCAAAGTAGGCATATTTGTTTATATCTTACCTGGAGGTTGGAAATGGTTTATTTTTCCTATGTTAAATCATTTGATAAAATGGAAAATAAACCAGGCCTAAACCTCTAATTGTGGTGTCCTATTTAATATATCTGACGTATATATGTAAATTCAGGCTACACCATGGGTTGGACCTTTATGTAGAGAAATGTTGGTTTTTAACAGCTTTGTTAAAGCATTAAATCGGTCATTACGCAATCTATGTGAAATGTTAACTTTATCGATGTTTTTGAATGGTGACTGTGAAAAAGATCGTCAAGATTATCTTGATATCGCATTAAGGTTTGTTAATTGCAATATATACTAGTAAATGATTAATTTTACGATCTTTAACGTGCTTGCTTTTTAATCATTCTGTTTGTACAGCCTTCCATTTTTATATGACGCGAATTGTGGATTAGGTATTATCGCCAAAACATATCTTGAAAGTACCATTACTCTGTCAAAGGAATCAAAGGAAAATGATAGAAACATCAAGTCAGATGCACTTAAGAAACTTGAGGAAACCTTTACTGCATGTATAAATGTTAAAGCTGATCTAGAAAATGGATTGATGTTCTGGGATGAGGTACTCAAATGACAATTATTTTCTGGCCTATTATCACACATAATTTACTAAATTTCTTTCATTTAAAAGGTTTTTGTTGCAGTAAAATCACTTAAAGGAGTAATATCATCTGACATTTCAACTCAATTCTTAAACGCAAATACTTGGTTGGCTTCTCGACGTCCTTGATACTTATGTGCACTTTCGATTTGTAACATATTCATTTACTTTTTTACAATAAATATTTCGTCCTAAATATTTAGTTTTTACGTATTCGTAAACCCTATAAGCACTGTTTCTTTGAATTCGGTAAAGCGGTTTAACCTAGGATCATAAGTTTTAATCTTTTTTTCCCCTAATACAGTACAGTATTACTGTATTATCCCGAAACAACGCCCTGGGGTGTTGGTTAAAATTTTAGCCAGAATTAAGCTTAATTTGGCCTAAATTAAGCTTAATTCGGGCCAAGATTTTAACCTACACCCCAGGGCGTTATTTCGAGACAATACAGACGAATTTTTGCTAATATCAAAAGAGCATAACTGAAGTTCATTTTGATTGGTTATTAGAATACCCTTGTGTGGAAAATGGTTGAGCAGAACGTGAACAAAACGGTAAGCCAAGTCGTTTAACGACTCGGCTACAAGCCTACCGAAATTATGGTTTCGATTATATTTTGGTTTAATTTATTTTCTGAGTGCCGTCTAGGGAAAATCTATCATCTGATTTCAATTATATTTTGTGATAAATATAATCAAAGTCCGATGATAGGTTTACCCTAGACGATAATCAGAAAATAAACTGAACACAAAATATAATTGAAAGTCAGAATTTCGATTTTTCCTTGATGGCACTCATAGCATAGTTAAAGTCTATCTGATAGAGTTTCGATCCTTATGCAATAAAACCTCGCTATTGGAACTTATTTGGGCTTGAATTTAAGGGTGCATTTATAAAGAATGCACTTGTAAAAGGTACACTTATAAAGGTTTAGAAGTTTTATTGTATTTGGGTTTAAATTAAAATGTGTATTTAGAGAAGGTATGCACTTATAAAAGAAAAGTTTCATTGCAACATTTTATTTAAAATTATAATTGATTATAATGATAAATCAATAATGAAAATAATTCTATTTGATAAATTTTTTTAAAAAACGAGATTAAGTTAGTAGAAATTAAGCAAATTTTTTTTAAGTAAATTTTTTTAAAACTTTGAATAACAATAATTTAATAATAATTTAATTAAATTAATTAAATTTGATCAAGTTTTTGTTTAGATATTGTTATTTAAAGTTTTAAAAAAAATTTAATAAAAGCAATTTACTTGATTTTTATTAATTTATTTTCATATATTAGAAATTATTTTTTTTATTAAAGATTGTAATTTATAATAGTATTTTTATTGACAATTTTTTACAATTATTTTTTATAAAAATAAGAATTCAACTAATTATATATGTAATTTTTTGTTGTTTATTTAAATAGTTTATTTTAAGATTTTATATTAAATGTTATATATTACAAAATAAATTTTTAGTATAATATAGTTTATTATATTATTAGTAATTATTATATATAAAGATGTAGTAATCTAGTGAAGTAATCAGATTGTCAACCTTTTAAGTAGTAGATTAGGTGTTCAAATTCTATTAACAGCAAAAATTTAGATAATTATTTATATAATATTTATATTATAGTAACTGTTACTAACAATTGGATTAGGATATCTGTTATGATAGTCACATTAGCATAACTGGCAAATTATAAAATATTTGTATAAATATATCATTATACAAAAGAATGCAAATTAACAATCAGATAGTACAAACATTAGATAAGTCTTTGTAATCATATAAATTTGTTAAAAATTAGATAACAAAAAGTTCATTTAGGAAAATCTAAATAGAAAGGTAGGCGGATCTTTGATGACATTACTGTAAAAGTTAGATTATTAGAAATAAATATTAAGATCATAATATTTAGACAAGCAAGAATTTTCAAATTAAGGAAGTCTTAGAGATATTACCAATCAGACTATTAGAACAAACTAAAGAAAATAGATATTAGATCAATCTGATATATCAATAAACTAGTTATAATTCTATATAGACTATCTAAATTAGAAAAAGATAAGAGTATACAAAGTATTAGAAATATGTTATAAAATAGATGCTATAGTCTGTATGAACACTACAAAGATATAGTAGTTTAATAATTAGCACTGATTGCAAGTATTAGTTTTACAATAACAATATAAGATTAGTTATAGATACAAAAGGTTCTGTAAAGTTTATTTCAAGAATAATTCTTATACAAACTTCAAATTTCTTTATATAAATTTAAGTGTCTTAATATTAGTTTCAAGTATTTTAAACACAAATATCAAATAATATAAACAATATTTTTAGTTGTTTCTATATAATTCTTATTATCTTAAATATAGTATTATTTAATGTTGTTTGAACTTTTATTATTCTAAATACAGTATTGATTAATTTTGTTCAAATCCCTATTATCCTAAATATAGTATTAAGTAATATTGCTCAAATCTTTATTATTCCTATTAGATAAAAAGATATTTTCTCTTTTCTTTACTAATTTTAAGTTCTTATATTTTAAACTAGACTTTTTTATCTTATCTTCTAATTTGTAAATATAATATATTTTTTTAGACTAATTATTATAAGCAAGATTATTACTATGTATTTGTTTAATAAAATTAATCTATATACTGTTACTATTTGTCTGCTGCTATATAGTAAAATAAACTACTATATCTCAATCTTATATATTTGCAATAGTTAATTTTTTTTTTTTTTAAACAAACATGCTAATATTTTATTAAGATTTTGAAATTATATTTGCAATTATATAAATGTTCTTAGCAACTAAGTTTAGAATTATCTGACTATCTTAATAGTATCTAAATACAATTTGTCACATTACTTTAAACAGAAGTAAGCTACTTGTCTAACTACTTAAAGTTCATAATAGAAAGATCTTCTTCTTTTTATAACAAGTTTCAAAATTGTTTTTTGTATTTTTTTTTTTTTTTTGCTCTTAAGCAGCCATGCTAGTACTTTATTAAGATTCTTGCAACTATATACAATAACTACA